TCACCGCCGGTAATATGCATCTCTCTTGCTGCCACCCTGCTCAGGGAGGACCTGGGTGTTTTTGCCCGCGCCCCCCTACCGGGCTCTCGCTCCTTTTCCCTGGGGGGTAACGCGAACCGTAGAAAAGACGGAGGAAAATGGCGGCTGACCTTCGCCTTTCCGGTGTGCCATATCTTTCTCATCCGCCTTTCCCTTGTCTTAGCTTGTCCCGTCTCATTCCACCCTTGCTCTCCCCGGTGCTTCGTTGCCTCCTCATGCTCTGCCTGCTAGTTTCTCTCGAGGGGAATCCACTACCCCCTATTTCTTTTTCCTTCAGTTTACTCCCCAACTTTACTCCATATTGTTACTATCTTCCTGACGCGGATTCTAGAGTTATCCTTTGCAGGACCCCCGCCCCCCGCGTATCAGGCTTTTCTTGTTCGGCTTCCCGATTTCATGTCATTGCTGTGCTTATTTTTGCATTATCCCATTCCAGCTCTTCTCTGCCTCCATCCTGCAGCGTGATTTATGTATGTTTCCCATGCCGTGTTTAATTTTCTGTGCTACAGCTTCCATCGTTGTGCTCCAAACTATTACAACAGAATTTACTCTACTTTAGGACCGCATTGATCCATTAGCATTATTCAGACTCGGTTTTTTCCTTTGCGCATGGTTTATTTCATTGCCAATTTAAAACCACTGCTATTCTGTATACCTTTCCTGAGGTATGTTTCTTTAATATTTTGTTAGCCTTTCCTAGAAAGTTCATTTTATATGGTTTTTTCCCCTCTGCAATGCTTATTTTTATTCTGAAATCACAAATGAGCTATTTATTTGTTAGAAATTTTAGTAGCAGGCAAGATGTTCAACTGCTGTGTCTAATCACATTTGCATACTAGAGAGACATAGAAGCACACCTGGCAGCATGCATTCAAGGAAAGCTGAATGTCTCCACTTGTCTAGTAAATGAATAGATTCTAGTGATTGATGTGGTAAAGCTGCACTGGAAATATTAATTGGAGTACTGTAGTTCTCTGTGAGATATTTTCAGACTTTTTTATTAATGATGGGAACTTTAGCTTTCTGTATAACAACTAAGCACCTGTTACTCACAATTTCAATTAGGCAAAATGCCCATGTAAGAGTATATATAGTGCTAGGGCCTTAATAATTTATTTTTATGAATGTAATGTTGAGAATTCTACTGAAAAACAGTTTTGTACTGTTGGGTTTTTTTCATTATGGTTTCCACCATACCTAGAGATATATGAAACAGGTGAAAAATTGTCTCTTTGTAAGCAGTTCAGAATAAAACCCACTGCATTTAATGCAGTTGCAGCAGAAAGGGGAAGAGCTATAAGAGGAAAGGATGTTTGAGAACACATCTACAATGTGTATTAAAGCTTCTATGAAAATGCAGGAAAGTCTTCATGAAGGTTTTGAATAAGATGAGCCTTTACAAACAGGTTTGAAGATGGCTTTCTAGCCGTAATGGGGCATATTCATTGTATAGTGTTCTCATGTTATCTTTCTCTTCCTAGAATGCCTAAGTCAAAGGAACTTGTGTCTTCAAGCTCATCTGCGAGTGATTCAGATAGTGAAGTTGACAAAAAGGTGAACATTATATGCAGTTTATAACTACCATAATAACTCTTATGTTTCAGGCCTGGAGTTAAGGAATTAGCTGAACATTATGTCACAAAATGCATGTCATTCCATATGATTTATCAGACACTTAAACCCAAAACACCCCTCCCAACCCTAAACCAAAACCCACCCCCCAACCCCCCCAAGATTACAGTTTGAGTAGATACTTGTTGCTTTGAAGTAAACTTTTTTCTTAAGTTGCATTTTGCTTCAGGTTTTTCTGTATGGTATATTTAGCCACAGGCTTCCTGGAATTCTTTGCTGCTTTTTTTCTATGACAACCTCCCATATTTTTTGGAGCGGTTTGTCTTTAAAAGAGGTTATCTACAATATGATTCTAGCAGGTGAGAATAATTTGTGGCATCTTTGTATTACTGTTTCTTTAGAGCGGGCATGATTACTGTATAACCATTAGTAGAAATAGTAATTCTGTAGCATCTGCTAGCAAAGTAATCTGTCTGACAGGTGATTTCACCTGAATGTTTTTAAAACCTGTTTAATTTGTCATGCTATGAGCAGAGATTGGACTTAAAAAAAGAAATTTTCTTCTCCTGGATTTGATTTTTCAGATCCTTTCTTCATTCTTATCTACTTTTATTTTCTTTTCTTTTAGCTGATTTGTTAGCTGTTCCACGTTTTTCATTGCACTCTCTGGAAAGGAAAGTGCAATGTCTATCAGACTTTTAAGATTTTAATTAAAACTGATAGTATTACTGCACAAAGAGAGTAGGCTTTTTGTAATGTACTTTGATCTGATTAATTTCTTTTTAAAGCCAAATTATTATGGTAAGCTTCACTGAGAACAGAAATAGACTAATTTGAAGATTTATTTTTTTTAAAAGTTTCAGTCTAAATGTACAGTATTGGATTCCTGCCTTCACAGGAGGAAGGTGATAATGTATATTGCATATTAGTAGTCTGACCTCTAACAAACATTTTTTATAACTTTTAAAATGAGTTGTGGTTCATGAATTTCTTTTTTTATTCTTGCTCCAAGGCAAAGCAGAAAAAGCAAGTAGTTCCAGAAAAGCCTGTAAAGAAACAAAAGACTGGTGAAAGTTCAAAAGGTGCAGCTTCTTCTAAGCAAAGCAGTAACAGAGATGAGAATATGTTTCAGGTAAAATTGATGACTCTCTTAGAGCCTGCTTAAGGTAACCATTTATATCATAATCAGTATAAATTCAGACTATCTGAATATCATGATAGCATAGTGCTTGGTCTCCTGAAGTCTTGGCTGAAGGAGATTACGATGCTAGCATGCAGATGAGATGCTGGGAAAAAGCATTGTCAGGTAGAGTAAAAGAATCAGTTGTGGCAATTAATTCCAACCCTCATGTCTTTTCCCATGGTAATTCTCTGGGTAGTCATTTTCTTTGTAAATATTAGATCAGGACAGTTTCTACATGGAAATGGTTTTTAATTGTGGTTCTTGAAAGAAAAGTTCTTAAAAACTCAAAATATGGACTCTTAATTCCTATTTAACTAGGTCGGGGAAACTTGGCTTCTGTCTTATAAGACAGTGTCTTTGAATAAGTTTTGTTTGTTCCTTTGTGATGCAGGTTTTTCTCACTGAACACGGAAAAATATTGGAATTTTTGACGTTGTCAAAATAGGATGAATGTACCTTTTTCAGTAGCAAGAAACATTTGCAAGTTCAGGGTATTGCATATCCTGGGATTAGCTGAGGAAGCAATGCATGCTGAAAGCTGTGCAAGAATATGCGTAGCTCAGAATTACCTGATTTAGGGGTGTGAATCAAGATTAAATGTCCGTGATGAGCTGTCTTGAAAGGAACAGGGGATGAGAAAGGAACTTAAATTCTTGGAGACTTTGATTCTTAAGTTTGTGAAAGGGTATGGGAGAGGTGCCTAATAAGATGGTTCCAACACTGAGTAAGGCAAAAGAAATTGTTTTGGGCTGTAGCTGTGCAAAATAATATGTGTGTGTGTGTGAATCTAGAGAGAAGACCTGTATCAATTCAAACCAATAAAATGAGGTAATGGGCAGAAACTTATGCACAGGAAGTTCCACCTGAATACAAGGAAGAACAACTTTACTGTGTGAGTGACTGCACACTGGAACAGATTGCCCAGAGAGGTCATGGATTCTCCCTCACTGGAGATAGGCAAGAACTGTCTGAATGCAGTTATATGCCACATGCTCTAGGATGGCCCTGCTTGAGCAGGGAAATTGGACTAGATGACCCACTCTGGTCCTCTCCAACCTACCTGATTCTGTAATTCTCACTTTACTCTTTATGTATAGCTGGAGGGAGAGCTTCAATTTAAGACACTGGGCATAACTGCCTGGATTTCTCTGTTGAAGAAAGAATATAATATTTTTAGTTCTGTTCATGCTTTTATCCATGTAAGAAAAATGAGATAGTATCTTCTGCACCTAATGAGGTAAACTGCAATTAGAACTCAAACATAGCATAAAGCCTATATGTTTTGGGTTTTTTTGTAATAGGTTCAGAAATTGCAGCTTTTGGGGGAAACAGTTAATTTTAATGCTCTCCCAATGGAGGAAAAAAAAATGAGAAAAGAAAAAACCCAAAACAACATAACAAACCACCATAACCAAACAAACCAAAACAAAAAACTTTCAAATAAAAGCAAAAGTATTTGTGTGCTCTGATTTCTTTCAACCTTTTTTTTGGCCCAAGATGATAAAAATTTGCTAAAAACAGACAGTAGGGGACACTTATTACTCTGATAAGAGCAGAATTCTTCCAGTGTTAACTATTCTGTATTATTGAAAAAGATATTTCAGTATCACCTTGACCTAAACCATCAGTGTTCCTTAGTCTCTGCCTGCCTTTTAGTTAATCAACAACAGAAGTTTTTTAGATTGCTTGTTGTGTTGTGTGGGGGTTTTGGTTTTGTTTCTTTTTTTCATGCAACATCAGCTTATGTGTGCTAGCTAAGATGCAACTGTTTTGGTGTAGAAATAGCACTGTAGGTCAGAGGATGCTCCCCTTCTCTCTTCTCTACCCATGAGATCATGCTGGAAGATCTAATTGTGTGTTCATTTTTTAGGTATTGTTTTGTTTGTTCTAGGACTATTAGTAGTGCTATAATCTCTCCTTTCTGCTGCCCCATGGTAGTAAAATGATCTTTGTGCAAGTGATTTTGCAGTATAACTTGAAAGTGTGTCTTCAGTTGATGGAAATGAGGCTGTAAAACATTCATAGGATAGTTAGGAATTCTGTAGCATTCAAATTTTGTGGGGGAATGATAGCAGCAGACATGAAACTTAGTGGTTTGCTGTTCTACACCTTTGGGGTGTGTTCTTAAAGTATACAGCTTCCCTTAATATTGAACTTCTGTATTCAGAAGATTTAGCATTTTCATAAAGATCTACACTTTTATTTTTGTTTGAAACTAACAGTGTAATGGTATTCTTGAAACTAATTATGAAGTATAAAATAATTGTAAGAAGGAGGGATTAAGTATAAGAGACCAAGTGTGTTTATTTACATGTCTTGGTCTTTTTAGGTTTTATAGGTAGCCTAGTATACCTTAGAATTTGTTAAAGGATTTTAGTGCATTTGGGGTATGGAAATTTACCTTAGTCCCATTTGTGATCTATTACTAGAGGCCCTAAGGACAAGTATTATTATGTTACATTACATTCCTATCTGTGGCTTTGAGCCAATGTGAGTTCTGCATCATGTGCCTTGGTTAGTTTGACAAATCCTGTCATCTACCTATGCCTGATTTGGATTAGGTTTGTTAATGCTGTTGAGTTACAGTATTAACGACTATCCAGAGTGGAACCAGATTACAGGATTGGGCATTTCATAGAAATTGTTACTTCAAAAGTAGTTTGGTTGTTGTGTGTGCCCCCCTCCCCTTTATTTATTTAAGTTAGGGTCCAATTTGCTTTTTGACTAGTGAGAAATAAATTCTTCAGTTTCCCAGTATAACGTCTTTACCTATCATAGGCTCCTGAAATAGATAATTAAGTAGATACTACATGTTTGTGATGCTCTGGAATATGATTGTGAAATGCATCGGTGACCACCTAAGTTTCGGAATTAATATGTTAAACCAATTTGCTGTGTTGCAGATCTCTGCTGTTTGCAGGGCTGTCTATTCTAGAAGTTTATATTATTTTATTGTGCTACTTCTAATGGTATATATATAGTTATCAGATAAGAAAGAAGGATGCTTTTTTTTCGGTTTTTACTTCTACAGTGCATATGCAGTTTAATCAAGGCAAACTGGAAAGAAGGTGGTTGCTGAAACTCACACAGGAAGTCAGTTGCATAGCTGTGAAACAAACCTAGACACAGTTCAGTGCATTTTATTCTAAGAAATGGAAACCTGGAAAGGATGTTTTTAATGTCTTGTGCTTAATTTAGTAGAATAATATATCAAAGGAGCTTTGATATTTAATATAAAGCTGTTGTGGCTTAACTCCAGCCAGTAACCAAGCACCATGCAGCCAAAGAAGGAATTAATTTACTGCTTCCCGTGGGCAGGCAGGTGTTAAGCCATCTCCAGGAGAGCAGGGCTCCATCATGTGTTAGTTACTCAGGAAGACAAATGTCATCACTCCAGATGTCCCCTCCTTCTTCCTCCTTCCTCCCACTTTATATACTGAGCATGATGTCATATGGTATGGAATGTCAGTTTGAGTCACCTGTTCTGGGTTCATCTCCTCCCATGCACCCCCAACTTCCTTGCTAGCGCTGCAGTACAAAAAGCAGCAAAGGCCTTGGCTCTGTGTAAGCACTGCTCAGCAATAACAAAAACATCATCTGTGTTAGGCACAAATCCAAAGCACAGCCCCATACTAGCCACTGTGAAGGAAGTTAGCTCTGCTCCAGTCCAAACCAGCATAGTTTGTGTCTTCGGATTGGCTACATTCATCATAACCTCTTCACATTCACTCGTAGCATTTGGAAATTTCTTTTGCATTTAAGTAGCACCAGCATATGAACTTTTTTATGAAGGTTGAACTGCAGTAGGTACCCTGATATAAATCAGTGCAACCCTTGGAACATTAATGTTGTTACAGAGATACAAAGGTGTCTTAGATGAGTGAAATTATTCTAGGTCTATCAGCTGCTATGTGAAAAAAGAATTGGTCAGAAATGGCTCAATGCCAGAATTGCATGTAACAACTTCAGGAAACAACCGTTTATTTAGCCAAAATCTAGGTCTATTTGAGATTTTGAAACTGTACTTTAGAAGCCTATTTAAAACTTTTTAGCAGTGGCAACTGTTTTGCATAGAGTTTAACTAAACATTCAAAATTTAACATGAGCATTCAGCTGAAATCTAGGCAGTGGGGTTGTTGTGGTTTAACCCCAGCCAGCAACCAAGAACCACGTAGCCACTCCCACGCTCCCCCACCAATGGGATGGGGGAGAGAATCAGAAAGGTAAAAGCAGGGTAAAATCATGGGTTGAGATACAGACAGTTTAACAGAGAAAGCAAAAGCTGCACACACAAGGAAAGTAAATCAAGGAATTAATTCACTGCTTCCCATGGGCAGGAGGTGCTCAGCTATCTCCAGGAGAGCATAACACTTCCTTGGGAAGACAAATACCAAACATCCCCCCCTTCCTCCTTCTTTCTCCCACTTTACATACTGAGCATGATGTCATATGGTATGGAATATCCCTTTGGTCAGTTTGGGTCACCTGTCCTGACTGTATCTCCTCCCAGTCTCCCACACACCCCCAGCTTCATTGCCAGCATGGCAGTACAGAAAGCAGAACAGGCCTTGGCTCTATGTAAGCTCTGCTCAACAATAACAAAAACATCTCTACATTATCAACCCTGTTCCCTGCACAAATCCGAAACAAAGCCCCATACTACCCATTGTGAAGAAAGTTAACTCTACTTCAGGGGTGTAAAGCCTAACTTAATTTTATCATTTTCATATGGAACTGTTTACATTTAAGGTAGACTTACTGACTGAATAAATGATGTGTACTTTGTATTATTGCTTCTCACCTTACTGTAGTTGAATTAAGGCATGTAGCCTTATTTTTAATAGTCAAATCCTAAACCTTTTTACTGTATTTGCAGCTATATTCTGCTGTATTGTATCAGATTTTATTTCTTAGATTAAATCTGGAGTTACTTGGCAGTGGACTAATAGCCTTTTATAGGCCTGGAAAAAAACCCGTTACGGAGTACTACTGCTTGAAGCTGGTTTATAGGTGGCCTTAAAAGTTACTGAAGCATTATAAGGTAAAAAAAAAGAAATGTTGTTCAATGCTGTTTAGGATATGCTTTTCCAGCAGTGCTGATGGACTTGGACATGGTACCAAGTTTGGTCTGAAAGAACTTGGCTACCATGACATAATACCTTATTTTTGAATGTTAAATTTGTAGTGCTGTGAAAGTATTTCATAAATCAATCACAAAATACTATCTTATGAACTTGTTCATTTTAAAGTAGAAAAACAACTGCTTCAGGCTTATGCTATCTAAAGACATCCCAATTGTTTAAAAATAAATTTTAGCATGATCTGCATAAGGAGAAAAATTACTTTAAGCAAACAGAAAGCATATTTGTTTATATGTATTTTGTGAAATAAGAACTTGTATGACTTAAACATCTGGATGGTTTTAGTTGATTGGATAGTTGTTCATGCTTTCTGGTCAGACTTAATGCTAATAAGATGTGTTTTTTCCCCTGTTAAATTATGTCAAAGTGCAAGATGCATAAATTAAGGAAGCTGAAAACTGAAACTAATGTTTTATCAGGAAGGAATATTCTATTTTAAAAATTGTTTACTTTATAATGTGTTCTTTCTTCATAAAATGTATCCAGAAGGTGCATAGAGAATACTAAGAATTTCTTGCATGAATTGACTGTGTTTTTATTATCAAATTTCTGATTCTCAAATTCAGTTAAGCCACTGTGGTGCGAAATTATGATATTTCAAAGTAATTTCATACTGTGCTATGTGCTGGTAAAATTAAAGTATTTGGATGAGGTTTTTTTCGGAACATCTGGTAGTCTTTTAACCACAGTTCCAATAAAGTGCCCCAATGAACTGGTGGAAGCAGGCATGGGGCATTTGGTGGCTTACTTCTATTTCCATCTGTATTTACTGTGTTTTAAAAAAGAAAAAGGAAAAAAGGGGGGGGGACACCAGTTAGAAATTGGGCCTCTCTCATGTGAATAATTTGGTTTTTGTACATATGGAATGGACTAAAAATTAGATTTAGGAGTAGAGCTCCTTCTTCCCCATTTGTTTACAACTGCTACTAACAAAGATGGTTATATAATAGAGGCAGAACTTTATTTCACAAAACAATACATTAGTGGGTTTCGTAAAGATGTAAGCTTGTTAAGAATACAGGTATTTTTTATAGAGAACCACTCTTGCATTGAGCATTGAATGCTCAACTGGTTTTAAGTTGTTCATATATTTATATTGTCATTACTTATATGCCTACTGACTGCTCTGGATTAAGCTCTTGATTTAGTTGTTTTACTGGTGTATAAAATAAGCTGCAGTGTGCAATGTCACGTGTCCATGTCTGATACTGCTGGGAAAAGGGATTGCTGTAATATGTAAAATATCTAAAAGATATCTTTATATGTGTTTTGTCAGATTGGCAAAATGAGGTATGTCAGTGTTCGTGACTTTAAAGGAAAAGTCTTAATTGATATTAGAGAATATTGGGTGGATCGGATCCAGAAAATGAAGCCTGGCAGAAAAGGTATTGTTCTGCTTCATGTTATTTTGTATTAAATCATTGTCTTCAGTTTGCTGGAGAACTTTGTGTGTCAGATTTCTGTACTTTGTTGCTACATGGCATTTTTAGAGTAATATTTTTACTTATTAATGATTTCTATTTTAACAAATGATTAGTTTTATCTGTAGATTATAAACAAAAGCAAAGTGGTTTCATTGGTCTGAATCTTGTTCTGCTTCATGTTATTTTGTATTAAATCATTGTCTTCAGTTTGCTGGAGAACTTTGTGTGTCAGATTTCTGTACTTTGTTGCTACATGGCATTTTTAGAGTAATATTTTTACTTATTAATGATTTCTATTTTAACAAATGATTAGTTTTATCTGTAGATTATAAACAAAAGCAAAGTGGTTTCATTGGTCTGAATCTGTTTTCCTAAATGGTTTCCCTATAATTTATTGGAAAACAAGGCATCGAATACAAGCAAATTTGGTATGGGAGTTATATACATAGCCATACATTTTCCCATTGATTAACTTTACTCCACTTCTTGCTTTTATTGCAATTGGATTTCTTATTTCAAAAGTCACTGAAAATATTTGGGTTATTAATTTGTAATAAGATTTTAATTTCTTTAAAACAATGTTCTTCAGTTTCTATAAAACTTTATATTGAGGTGTGGCTAATTTTGTAAAAAAATATTTCAAGATTTTAGTTCAGGTGAAAATACCTCAAGTGTTCAAGTTTTAGGTACTGTGCTTCTAATCTGCAACACAGCATAAGCCATTGTACCTTAAACTGCTACTCCCATATCTACTTTTTTATGGCATGTCTTCACTGAACTGTTTTCAGAATTTTGTCACCTGCAAGATGGGGATGCAAGGATAGTTGCAGTAGTAGTGCTGTTTCTAATGTCACATTACTTCTGTTCGAAAAGCTTATTTTCAGTAATTTTTCTTATTGTGCCAAGAAAAGAGATAAGTATGAAATATCCTGGATATTGAAGACATTTATTAGCATAAGGTTTGTTACATTTTCCTAGTGTGTTCAGGAGCAAGTAGACATTTGGAAAGCTCAAGAAATGTTTACAGCATCTCTTAAACAACCACTGAGAATAGGTTTGTATGAACAGGTATACTGGTACTATACAGGAAAATTTCTTGGTTTAGATGTGTTGCTGCTACCTGAAAAAAAAAGATTACCCCAACTTCTTAGGACTTTAAGCTGTTGTGTTTTGAGGTGGAAATAAAAAGTATATGCAGTTTGAGTGATAAACTACAATGAAACTTGATGAGGTATGCCCAGTGACAAAAATTACATGGTATAGATAGAAATACTTATCAATGTGGTAAAAGAATATGAACTTCATTAGGATAAAATTAATAATTGATACAGTATGCAAGTCTAATGTTACATTGATGCACTTATGAGCCCCATATCTAGCTATCCTAAAAATAGTATGAACAGTTGAAATTGTATAATAAAATATAGAAAAAAGAATCCAGCTGTTTAGAGTTGTTATATTAGATTGTATTCAACAGCAGGACTGAACTGCATGCAGTTTATCTTGTGTTGTTCAGGGGCATCTTGATGATATTTGGTCCCCTAATAATGGTTATCACACCTGACCTGTTTTCAAAAAAAACCTGCCCTCTAAAGACTGGTGGAAAACCGCTTAAAATAGCTCTGTGCAGACTGCTTACTGCTCTGATAAGACAGTGATGATAGAAGGAAAAAAAAAAGATCCCCAGAAATGGAATTAAAAATTTCACTTGTTTTCAGGTCCTGCTCCACCTACAGGGAGAAAGTGCTGAGGGAAGCCTGATCACTGAGGGGGGAGAGTAGAAGTTAAATACTACAAGAGCCTTGCTAGAGAGAGTATGAGAGGTAGCCCTGTGAGTCTGTATTGGCATAGAGATTTTAGAGGAAGAATGAGGAGACTAAAGCACAAAGGAAACATGTACCTAGACTTGAACTTGAGGAAGTATGAATTTAGAACTGAGGCAGTGGTTTGTGGGGTGCTGAATAATTAGTGATTGAATGTCACTAGAAGCTATAGTAAACTTGAAGTGGAAAAATAACTTGCATGTTGGTTTGTGAGGGCTAGGGAGTGGTAATAGTCTCTCAAAAATGTTACTTACAGTTTGTTATTCACAGTGCTTTAAGAAACTGGAGGAAAAAAACCCTAAACATATAACACTTTAAAAGTACATAGAAGTTCAGTCCACAGAGGACTTTTAGGAGCCAACAGGAATAGAGTGGACTTCCTACATTTCTTTTGTGTTGCTTTCTACCAAGGCCAGGGCTGTATTTCTTTGTTTAGCCTAACACTTGTGAATGAATTTGTTATACTGCACTCATTTTCTTTTTAAGAAGGTAAGCTAAGGTCCAAAGTTAAATTGAAGTGTTCCAAATAAGTAGTTTCTTTGTAACAGAGATGGTTGTTACACTTGAGGTAGGTAATTAATAGTCCTGACATACACTTTGTGTATGAAACCAGTCTTGACAGTAATTATGCAAGATCCTGTGCTACAATTTTTTTTGGTCCTAAGTATTTATTTTTAATGTATTTCAGGTATTTCTTTAAATCCAGAGCAGTGGAACCAGCTGAAGGAACAGATTTCTGATATTGATGATGCAGTAAGAAAACTGTAAATACAGAGCTATACAGAAACCTTTTCTCATTTTAGTTGTTTTAAGTGGTCTTTTTACATTGGCATTTGTTTTCTAAAATATTGTTTTCCAAGCATAGCTTGTATATTTGGATTGCAGAATGATTTGTAAGGTGAATACTTTATGTGCATTAAAAGTGTATTCTGAGTGAGGCTATTTGTGTATACTTTACTAAAAAGGAAATGTGTTGCTTTCACCTCATGGTATAAAATAAATCAAATATAATATGTAAAGCATGGATGTTTATGGCCTTTTGATTGAAGGTGCTGGTAAGGCTGCCTAATAGCTTTAATTTTAGTTTTAGTTCAGTTAACTGTTAATGTGAATTTGTTTTCTGAGGAGATTTCTTAAAATGTCTCCATTTTAATTTTTTTCTTTTATTTCATGCTCTTTGGTATTGCCTCAACAGCTTTCATCTTTAAGGCTTGATGCAAACAGCGAAAACCTGGTAAAACACGTTTTTTTAGATAACTTTAAATACTCTATTTGCTATTTTACTGTATCTATTCAGATATAAACAATCCTGAGTATATAAACTTTTTTGCATTACTTGTATGAAGTGTTATGCTAAACAATGACACTTGAAAGCAAGCCACACACTGTTTCTTCTCGTTTTTCTATAGCTTGCTTGACTTAGAAAATACCATTAGCCTTTATTCTTAGATCCTAGATTTTGAATGTGATGCATCAACTTCTACAGTAATAGACATATACCTCAGAGTAAGATAGTATTTTAAAGCTCCAAACATGATTATTGGTTGGGTAATGTTTTCTTGAACACATACTGACTAGTTGGTCTATAGAAAAGAACAGTTAACCTGTCTTTATAGGGTTTTTGTTGGTTTCCAAGTATTGTGTAAACAATGATGCTTAAACTACGCCATAACATAGATTAAGCAAACAGAGTTCAAATTCCTTCAGCCAAGACATCTGGCCATCATGCTTCTGCCCTGTCCACACTGCCTGCCCAAATCATTTAACTTGGCTTACCTTGTGTGGCTTACATGTGCACAACTGTTTTATGTTTCATACAGAAGGTACTTAGTCCTTACAGTGGAATAGTGGTACATAGTAGATCATGACTCTAGTGAACTTTACTTGTCTACCAGTGTGTTATTCTGGTAAGACAGGCTTCTGCCATGGGGAATCATAGAATTATAGAATTTTAGGGGTTGGAATGGATCTTATCAATCATCTAGTCCTGACCACACTGCCATGGGCAGGGACATATCCCCACTAGACCAGGATGCTCAAGGCCTCATCCAGCCTGGCTTTGAACACCGCCAGGGCTGGGGCAGCCACCACTTGCCTGGGCAACCTGTTGCAGTGTTCCACAACCCTTACGATAAAAACTTTTTTTCCAGTATCTAACCTGAACTTTCCCTCCTTCAGTTGGAACCCATTACCCCTTGTCCTGTCATTGCAGTTCCTAACAAAGAGTCCCTCTCCACCTCCCTTGTAGGCCCTCTTCAGATACTGAAAAGTTGCTATGAGGTCTCCATGCAGTCTTTTCTTCTCCAGGCTGAACAGCCCCAACTTCCTCAGCCTGTCTTCATAGGGGAGATCCTCCAGTCTTCTTATCAACTTTGTGGCCTCTTCTGGACTTGATCCAACAGTTCCGTGTACTACTTATGTTGAGGGCACCGGAACTGCACGCAGTATTCCAGGTGGGGTCTCACGAGAGCAGAGGGGGAGAATCACCTCTTTTGACCTGCTCGCCACACTCCTTTTGATGCAGCCCAGAATTTGATTGGCTTTCTGGGCTGCTAGCACACACTGCTGGCTCATTGTGAGCTTCTCATCCACTGTCACTCCCAACTCTTCTACTCATTGCTGGTGTCAATTACTTCCCCACACAACCTGCAGGTGTGCCTGAGATTGCCATGTCCCAGATGTAGGACCTTGCACTTCATTTTGTTGAACTTCATGAAGTTTGCATTGGCCCACTTCTCAGGTGTGTCAAGGTCCCTCTGGATGGCATCCCTTCCCTCCAGCATGTCGACTGCCCCACATAGCTTGGTGTCATCAGCGAACATGCTGAGGTTGCACTCAATCCCACTGTTCATGTTACCGACAAAGATGTTGAACAATATCGGCCCCAGCACTGACCCCTGAGGGACACTACTCATCAATGGCCTCCACGTGGAAAATGAGCCGCTGGCCACAACTCTCTGCATGTGAACCAGCCAGTTCTTTGTCCACCATGTGGTCCACACATCAAATCCATGTCTCCAGTTTAGAGACAAGGATGTCATGTGGGACAGTGTCAAAAAAGAGTGGAAGCTCTATTAGACTAGATGCTGCCCCAGATGAGGGGCTTCTTGGTCAAAAGGGACCTTTAAAGGTCATCTAGTCCTGCAATAAGTAGGGATGACATCTACTAGATCTGCACCATCCAGTCTGACCTCGAATGTTTCCAGGGATGGGGTATGTACCACCTTTCTGGGCAACGTATTCCTGTGTCTTACCACCCTAATCATAAAAGAATTCTAGTCTGAATCTACCCTCTTAGTTTAAAACCGTTAACCCCTGTCCTATTGCAACAGGCCCTGCTAAAATGTTTGTCCCCATCTTTTTTATAGGCTCCCTTTAAGTACTGAAAGGCTGCAATAAGAGCCTTTCCTCATAAGAGAAGTGTTCCATCCCTCTAATCATCTTCGTGGCCCTCCTTTGGACCTGTATATATGGATTTGAAACAGCTTCATGAAAATTTACATTTCAAGGCTATGTAGTGACTATGCAACTTATTGGTTCATAAGTAATTTTCCAATTTGAGGTTAAGATTAATGTGTTTTTTTAAAAAAAGTATGTGTAAACAGGATTTACTATTTGTTTAATTTTTGAGTATTTTAATATAATTTTTTATATTGCGAATGTGTGGAAGTCCTATTCTCCTAAGTGCCATACCCAGACTGTTCCTGTGCTGTAGACTTTATAATTCAATACAAATGGGTATTGAAGGTTAAGGAAAGGTAACTTTATCAAATCAAATATATATTATCTAATTTAACCATTATGTCAGATAATTCCACCCATTTTTTAACTTATCCATTGTTGACATGTTTCAAGTAAAGTTAAAGAATTAGAGATGTGCACACACCTGTGTGGGTATGATATCATTGGCATCATGGAGACATGGTGGGATGGCTCCTGTGACTGGAGCACTGGAATGGAAAGTTTTAGGCTTTTCATGAAAGACAGGCTAGGGAGACAAGAAGGGGGTGTAGCCCTCTATGTCAATGTCCAACTGGAGAGTATGGAACTCTGCCTGGGGAAGGACAAGGAGCCACCTGAAAGCTTGTGGGTCAAGATTAAGTGGAGGACAGGGACAGGGGATGTTATAATGGAGGTCTGCTGCAGGCCACCTGATCAGGAGTGGATGAAGCCCTCTACAGACAGAAAGGAGAGACCTCCTGGGCATCATGGAGGATTTCAACCACCCTGATATCTGTTGAAGGAACAACACAGCAGGGCACAGACAATCCCAGAGATTCCTTGAATGTGTCAATGACAACTTCCTTACACAAGTGATTGAGGACCCAACAAGGAGAAGTGCCATGCTGGACCTTGTGCTGACCAACAGGTAGGGGCTGATGAGGAATGTAGCACTCCAAGGCAGCCTTGGCTGCAGTGACCATGAGATGGTGGAGTTCAAGACCCTTAGGGCAGTGAGGAAGGCACGTAGCAAGCTCGCTGCCCTGGACTTCAGAAGAGCAGACTTTGGCTTCTTCAAAGACCTACTCAGTAGAGGCTCATGGGACAGAGCCCTGGAGGGCAGAAGGGCCCAAGATTGCTGGCTGATATTCAAGGTTCAACTCCAAGCTCAGGAGCAATGCATCCTGAGAAGGAGGAAATTGGTAAAAGTGCCAGGAGGCCTCCATGGATGGATAAGCAGATGCTGAGCAAACTCAGGGTGAAAAAATAAGCTTTCAGAAGGTGGAAATGAGGACAGGTGGCCTGGGAGGAATACAGGGAAATTGTACAGGAAGCTAGGGACAAGGTTAGGGAAACCAAGGCCCAGATAGAACTGAATCTGGCAAGGGATATTAAAGAAAAGGAAGAGCTTCTATAGATATGTAGTATATATGTTGGATATTGTTGTATCTTCTATAGATATATTGCAAGCAAAAGAAAGACTAGGGATAATGTGGGCCTGCTCTGGAAGGAGACAGGAAACATGGCTACCCTGGACAGAGAGAGGGCTGAAATTCTCAATGACTTCTATGCCCCAGTCTTCAATGGCCAGTGCTCTAGCCATGCTGCCCAGGTTGAGAAAGGCAAATGCAGACCTGGAGAATGAAGACCCTGAGCCCACTGTAGGAGACAATTGCATTTGAAACCATCTAAGGAACACGAATGTGCACAAGT